AATGTGTCACCCTTTCTCATTCCATCACCTTCATATATAAACAATTCTGTCATTTGCCATCCCTTTGTTAACAAAACAAGTATTCTTTCTGTTTTTTTGTTTTGTTTTTTTTTTTTTGCTGAACTTTCTCTATAAAGGAGAAGTTTTTGTTAGCCACAGAATCTCTTATTTGGAAGTTTGTTTTTAAATAGAGTATTAATTTAGAAGCTTTATTGAAGCTTTTCTTTAAGTTATTTTCCTGCCACTACTGTAAGGGCTAATTATAAATTATTATATAGCATTCTTGTTTTCAGAAATAAAACTTCCACTTTTTGGTAAGTCACTTCAAACAGATGCAGCATCCAGTTGATTAGTTTGATCTCGCAGAAAGTTTTAAGCTGATTGGAAGCTTCCTGGCATTTTCTCGTTCCGGAATAACTTGAACAGTGGAAATAGTGCAAATAATTGGATAAAGGCAGAACAATGAGCAGTGCTTTGAAACAGCTCCCAGACTGCGCCGATCCCACTGCTTTGTGCAAGACACCTGGAGGGGGTGACGCCTCTGTGAATCCTAGCACCAGCCTGCCTGTAACTTGGCTTAGGTTGACTCATTAGAAACACTCAAGTTTCCTGGAAATTTTCCTGATGGAAGGTAGATGGAACTGCATCTGCTTCATTAATTACAGTGAGTCATTCCTGTAAGCCCTTGCCCCGTGCATTCCTGGCATTCCAGGCCCTGACCTGCTCTGCACTAGGGTGATTACACTGCTTTCTTGCCATCCTTTTAGCTGGGTTCAGTTAATAGTTTCCTGAACTGATTGTGAGAACTTATTGGATCCTGTTTCTAAGATCTTGCATGTAGTTGTTCAAAGACTGACTTCCAGAAAGGATTCCTGTCCTGCCTATGAGTTTTTCTATCCCTTGGAGATTTAGACTCATCATGAGTCTTAATAGCTGCCTCTGAAATCCTGTCTCCTTGTGCCGTGTCTGCCCCAGCAACTGCTCCAGCTTTCCATGTGCTTCCCAGCCCATAATTTTCTGTTTTGTGTTTCTTAAAACAGGGCACGTTGCTTTTTCTCTCTCTGCTCCTCGAAATTCAGTAGAGGTAAAACTAGAGATATGCTTATATGCCCAAAGGACAGATCTGCTGAGCTTTCAGTGTTTTAAATGTGGCATCTTAAAAGTGCCACTTCCATGCTGTTCGTGGAACTACAATAAATATTACTGACTGACCAGAAGACCATTTTTTCTTGGGATAGTGTGTTGCCTTATGCCCAGAACCAATTCTTGTACCTTAGGTTAAAATTGTTTCCTATATTATGAAGTCCTTAGAATAGGGCCTGTTTCCATTTTATGCTTCTGCATCCTCTGTTATAAATTTAAAAGAGATTAATACTACAGTATACAGAAGCTGCAAAACTGATGTTAACTAGTGAACATTTAACAGTCTGCTCCTTTGAATCTTGTTTCACACAACGGGTTTAAATGTAACCAATCGATGGGAGCCTCCAGTTCTGTGCAAACAAAGAGCACTTCTCAGGCACACTACTGAGTGCAAACAAGGGTATTTATATGCAATGTATAGTTTAATGATTTCTACTGAAGCTAAGCGGATCAGTAGTTTTCACAGTAATTCAGTATTTTGCATGCGGAAAAATGCTTCTTTTTGTAGCAGCACAAGTTTAATTTTATATGTGGCTTTTTCAATGTATCAAAATAGATTATTGCAATCATTATTGCAGTCTTTAGTGACCTTTCTCAGTCACATGATAACTGTTGTTGTGGTGGAATTTTAACTGGTTTAACATTGCAGTATATGTATGTACATATATGAATATTTTGTGTGTGTGTATGTATATATACATGAATGTAAATGTGGGGGTGTATATGTACGCTTTTGTTTGGTCAGAGTCCTGATCATGTCAATTTAGCTTCAAAATTGAAAGAATTCCATAGAGAAACCTTGGAAATCAAGATGATTCTTGGATGTCATGTTTCAGTAAAAGACGAGATGACGGCAGAATTACAAATAGTGAAAACAAAACGGCTAATGATTTCAGGTATATCAAGAAAAGAACTATTGGTAGTAATCAGAGGAAAAAATACTAAATGTAGAATAAAAACTTGTGTGAGATGAGTTTGTTCTACTTGTTTATAAACTTGTCTTTTTTAAGCCCTCCAAGAATGTCAAGACCTGTATTGTTTGAATCTGCCATGTAAGTGTGAAAGAAAAGTTTTTTTTCTCAATTTCTTAAAAAACACACTTTTTTTCCATTTTGCTTTCACAGGTTATTCTTGTGCAGGTAAACCCAGGTGAAACCTTTACAATTACAACTGAAGATGGGCATGTTCAGTGTATTCAAGGTAAAGGAAAGACTGAAGAAGTGAATCTAAATATTTGTCTTACTCTGCAGGTATCGTAGAATCACTACCAGCAGTTCTGTCTGTCAAATGTAGTTTTCTGCGGTACAATAAATGATAAATTTTTTAGTTTTAACTTGAAACGCAAAACAGCAGTGGGAAGTCGCCCAGCTTCCTTGCCTTTCTGCTCCTAATTTAGAACAGGCTGGCATTTCAGCCATTTGTATAAATAATTATTTGTGAATAACTGTCACATCCCAGTTGTAATGCATGAATTTGTGTGATTTAATCCATATTACCATAAACAAGTTTAATAGATGGCAGGTGACCCTACGTTAGTATAAGGTAGTGGCATTAGCAGTCTGTTCATATTGAGAGAAGCATTAATGCCCTCTCTGTGTGGCTACCGAGTGGCAGAACTGCAAGTTTAAGGGTTTAAAATCTCTCTTGTAGATCAAGTTTAATTTATCAGTATTTCCATTTTTGGAATGTTTTTTCACCATTTCAACTGATATTAAATAAAATACGTTCACTCTGTTTTCGTCTGATCTCTTGGAGGAATACTTATGTTACTTACACTTGCAAGTTAGTACATTTTATTAAAACAGAATGATCGCTCAGTTGTTGGTGTTACTATATCATGACTGTGGTTGCCACAGACTCACTATGTAAGACCTGAAACATGCTATTTTTGTACAATTAAAGAAATGTTAACTCTGTCAGTGTGAAGGTTGGTATTAAAATTCTGGGTGCTTCTCGAAAGTTATTAAATTATATTTAATGCATATTTTGAATGAGTTAGCCTTGGTGACAAATTGTATTATTTTTTTCTAGATGAAAACTTGGTGCAGTCACTTAAGCTTGCATTTTGGATTATATAAGTTTCTTTCTGAATGGGCTTTTTGCTGGATAGTTTGAGCCTTGCTTCTAAATGTACTTGTCTAAAAGTAGATCCATAAATATGGATTTGGATGTAGATGTTTTTTCAGCTATATACCCATTTTCATAAACCAAATTGAACTCCTGTACTTGAAAGAGCTTGCCTCTAGGATTTCCACGAGCCTTGCGTGATGGACCCATGGCACATTCTGTCTTTTCAGGTCCAGCACACGTTCCTATGATGTCACCAAATGGATCTATGCCTCCCATTTTTGTGCCTCCCGGTTATGTATCTCAGGTAAATCCTAATTCATTCTTACATTTGCTTGTGAGTTAACAGTGAAGATGGCTTTTTTTTTTTTCATTTGATATTACTAAGCCGTAAAGGTTGCTGTTAGTGAGACAGCAGCTGGTTTTGAGTGAGCTCTCCGAGCTCCATTAGCACTGGATTTTCCTGCAGTCCCATTCCCAACGTGGTGGGAGGGCCCGTGCTGCGTGGGCAGCCATGGAGGCCTCGGACACGCTCTGGTGCAGGCAGAGCTTGGTTTGAGATGCGGGGTTCCCGTTCTGAGCTTAAATGGGCCTCATGCCAGGATCGTTCTGTTTTATGCAACAGATCTTCTGCCCAGGACAGCATAAGATGCTGCTCTTAGTGTCTTCTTATAACTCACTTTTTTTAGTTCTCGTGTAACTACTGTCAAAAGTTTTCAATGCCCCTCTTAGTAACTCTGGTCTCCCTAATACTCAGAGAAAGACTCATCTGCTACAGCAGAAGTGTCAATGCAAGTGACTTATGCCTAGGAAAGTAGCAAGACTCTGGGCTCCTTTCCTAGCTTTACTTTTCTCACTCTTTGTCCACTCTTCAACATTCTCCCTAAGTCATGGCAGCTCAGACCTGCATCTTGCATTTACAGTGATATCAGAGATATTTGAAGTTACTTCTAAATTAGCACATTAAAAAGAAGAAATGGGATAGGCCAGGCTTTTTTCCCCTCATTGATGTTCAAAAGTCGACAGTTTTCTGAGTAGGCTTTGAAAGCTCTGTAGCCTCGTGTGCTCAAGTTCCCTGAGCCGCTGAATTCTTTCATGCAGCTGTGTCTGCAGTTTTTGCTTCTGCTGTTTTAACTAGATACTTTCATGCAGACCTGGAAGAAAGAACCCTCAAATAGTCTCTGCCTCCATATGAAACAGAGGCTTCAGTGCAAACGATGTGGAAAGCACTGGCAAATGCTGGCGTGTGCAAATTGAAAATTACTCCTGATCTTTTTGCTGTCACATGAAGACTAGTTTTTCTTTTGTTTTCCCTTGGCCAACATGACAGGTACAGGCAAGGCTGAAAACAGCTTTAAAGCAGAGCTCGAGTGTAACAAAGTATTTGATTATGGGACATAGCAACTTCAGACTCTAAAATCCTATCAAAGTCTTATTATATTAATGGAACCCTTTTACCAAAAATCGTGGCCTAAATTCTTGCTTGTTCAATATAGAAACAAAATTGAGTTAATATAGCCATCAAAATTAGCCATGAGTTTTCACTTACATAATTATTCTATATTGATACATTAAATAATAGCTATTATGTAATTTAATATGATTAATTTATGTCCTAAATAGTATGTCATAATACCATGTAATGTAATGCACTTCTAGTTGTATATTAAGTTCAGTCGATGGACCAAAAAGCCCCCAAAACTGCTTCTAGAACAGACTGTATTCAGTGTAACGGAAACTAAGTCTTACGTGACTTTTTTTTGTATTTTTTTCTTCTATTTGAAGTCTCTTTAAAAATTACTAATAATACAGCTGACTTCGCAGTCATATCACAGCTGAACTTTGTCATAGTGTTTGGTGAGTGGGCACATTCTACTTCCTTTCAGATAAATATTTTCTGGTTGATTTGCTTTATATTTTGCTGAGGAGCTTTTCAAAATGTGCTTTTGGCATAAGTAATATTTCAACATCCGTAATTTCTTCTTGGCCAACTAGGAAATGCTACAGTGATTTCTTATAGCCAAACTAAACATGCTCTAAGAGAGGATCTTGAAGGAACTAGCAGGATAAAACACATGGTCAGCTTTTGTGTAAGTGCTTTCTTTAAGTGCCTGAAAATAGATTTTTTTATATATTTTTTGATAGCAGGGGGCTATGTAAGTAACATTAAATCATGTTAAAACAGGTTTACTCACATTACATAAGAAAATCTATTTTTGCATCTCAATATTGTTACCAGTGTTCATTGAGAATGGGCCCTCTACTTGCATTCACAGATAATATTTTGTGCTGATTGTATTAATCATCTGTATGTTGATACTAAAACATTGGAAAACCTTGCCTTGTTGCATTTGTGATTTAAAATCTAAATGCAATTCAAGAAGGTGGCAGATAAACAGACGTAAAGGCTAATTTTAAACCGCTCTGAGGAAAAGTCCTATCTTACTGAGACTTGATTGTTTTGAAGTGTTTTTGCTTTTAATGTTGGACCTTTTTTTTCCTCTCATTGCTCTGATTGTTTTTTCTATTAGGTTGCTCCTACTTGATGTATTTTTTGTATGGGGGAGAGTAGAAAACAGTTGAATTGTTGGCTGCCTCAAATAGCATTTAATACAATCTCACTTGCTTCTGAGTTAGACTTCTCATTCGATGCAGTCTGAAGACTTTTCAGTGCCCTTCTTCATTGCAGTCAAAGAAACAGACCTGAGCATGGCCATATGACTTCTCTGATGGTCAACTTGGAGGCCTTTGGACCACTCAGGCCTAGAGTTGGAAACTTAATCCTTCAGATAGGCCACGCAGACTGAGCTTATGCACTTCCAGGTGGCAGAGAACTGGGGTAGATGTTTTGTGTCTGTAAACAGCTTTATACCCTCGCTGTGGAAAAGCTGAAGTCTCCAGGGTGTTGTGTCTTCCAAGTGTATTATAGATGAAGCTGAACTGGGCATTGTTTCACTCCAGGGTCATCCTTGTTTATTATGTCTTTGCGACTCCCACCCTGCTGCAGAAACCTGTGTTCCTCCCTGAGTCCTTTCTCCATTTAGGATTTTGCTGTGCGTTATTGTGCAACGACTTAGCATGAGTGAAATCTACTGTAGAAAGGGTAATATATTGAGACATTAGTATACTTCAGGCTGATGAGCTGGAATCTGGAAGGAGGCTGTGAGTTGCCAGGTCGGTGGAAGAAGCGTGCATGCACATACATATGCATGTGCAGCCTGCTCCGCACGGGAGAACATTAGCATCTTTTTATCCTAGAGTTCAGACAAACAAGCAGGTTCCTTGTGTGAATTCTCTTAGCCCATGGCAAACATCAAGTATTTTGACATTTGAGTTGGCTTAGATCATAGTGCATGACAGCAGAGTGAACTTGTAATCCTTTGTACTTGCTATAGGCTAAGAATTTGTAGGCAGCCGTGTACTGCAAGCCGTGTGACGTGCAGTGACTTGTACCTGTCATAGCACTGTCGGTCTGGATGTGTTCTAAAACAGGTTTTCAAACTGTAATTACAAGAAGATAGGAATTACACCGTGATCGGTTCATATTACTTGTTTAAAAGAATGCGTGTGAATATGCATATAATGCATAAATTCTAGATTGCTTAACCCTTCCATGCGTGAGGTTCAGCTTTTTAAATTTGACTGTTTAAAACTCTTAATTTCTTCCAGTAACACATGGCAGATTTCTGCTGGTTGGGATTCACTTCCATGTGTGCATCCTCGATTATCAGTCAGACTATAGGCGTAAATTGGAGCATAAAGAATCTTTATTGCGCTTACCATGTTTCCAAGATTATTTTGTCCTGACTGCATTTCTTGTGTTGCATGGCAGGTGGTCGAAGAAAACGGCGTTCGTAAAGTGGTGGTATTGCCGCACTCGGCTGAATTCCACCCTTCCATGCATCCTCCTCCTCCTCCTCCCCATGTGCCGCATTACATGCATCACCACCACGCTCTGCTCCCCCACCCTCCTCACCCCGTGTACCCACCGGTGCCCGGCACCGGAGAGCTGCCACCGCAGTTCCTGCACCAGCACCCGCCGCCGCACGTCTTTCCAGAGCAAGGTGAGGCTGCCGGTGGTGTTAATTAATGAGCAGGAGGAAATGGGCTTGTTTCTAGTCTGTCCACTGCTGCTCAGAGACATCCGAGTACCAGCAGTGAAACTTCAGCTTGGTGCAGCTGCGAGCTGCTCTGTGCAGCTGCGAGCCCCTCTGTGCAGCTGACTGACAAAATGCAGCGAAATTGCACGTGTCCTCGAGTTTGGGTTTTATTGTAATCGTTCTTCTCACGTCAGAACATTTCTCAGTTGTTAAATAAAATGTACCTAATAATGAAGTAAGTTCTCCTTTGTTTGACAGAACCTCGTTCTCATGGAAGGACAAACTTTATTCAGCGAGATGAAAGGAGTCTTAAAATGCAAGAACATCTGAAGAAAAGACTAAAAGACAGACAAGCGAGTGGTCATACTAACAATAAACTTAACAGTCCTCCTTCTTCACCGCATAAAATTAATAATTCTTCCAGTGCGACTCTTCAGAATGGAAATGGGAAGGGACAGCAAGTGGCAGGAGGTCCGCTAAAACAGAAACAAATAGGAAAAACAAAGGGCAGTCCAGATGCTGAGATAGGAGGTATGTTGAACTGGCAGGAGTAAAAAGCACTAGATTCTTTTGCTGTAGGTTCACTGCAAAATAATTTCTGGAACAAAAAATGTGTTTATGAGTAGTTACTTTAGTTGCTATACAGGATTAGCAAAAGCCTGAAATACTTTTCATTGTGTTTGGATTTTTTTTTCCTTAAAAAAAAAAAATAAGAGCATATGTAAGTAAAGTGGTAGGATGTCTTGTTAAAAATGAGTCTAAAGTGTCGATTAACTCTTGAATTACGAGGTAGTTTGTAATCACATCGTCAAAGATTCCACCCTCTCTTCATTACTCAATGTTCAATTAAAAGAAAAAAACACACACACAATAGTTTTTCAATCACTTCATCCAAGGGAGGCTTTATACAACCCTAGACAGTATTCTTTCATATTTAGTCTTTCAAATTCCCATAAATTACAGACTATGCTTTATTGATAGTTTATTGCTTTCTTCTCTGCCATCACCTGCCACTACTTTAGAAGGAACTTGGCGAGGGAAGTGTTTTATCTGTGCTGTGAAAGTGCTCTCCCTGTTTTTCACAGATTTAAAATAGGGAATTTTTCAGGAGCACAAATTCTATTGCCAGTCAGATGCTTACTTTCACATTTCCTGATTGATATTGTGAGAGATGTTTGATTACATTTAACCTATGCCTCTTTGCTTTTATCTTGGCTTTGTTTTTTAAAAAAACTAAAATCATTAGATCTGTGTGCTTTTCCCAATGTTTCTGTCTTTCTGTGCCTCTTTTTCACCCTCTTTTAAGCCTCTGATTTACCTCTGTGTCCTTTCTAGCCTGAAATTCTGACCAATAATCCAAGCAAGGGTGGTGAGATGTGAATATTTACTTAAGTGACTTCTGATTTCATTCTTCATGTTAGCTTTTCAGATATATAGGAGTTATTTAAATTTCAAGTAATGAGAAGGTTTGAGCATTAAACAGTCTCTTTCCAGGATACTCTTTAATAAGCTGTTATTCAGCTTAGTGCATTATTTTGCTCACATTGATCTTTGAGCTTTTAAATAGCTTGTGCTTTTTTACTTGCATGTTCTAAAACACTTTGTGTACAATATTTGCATTAAGATTGTTTTTGAAACGATGTTTTTGAAATGCAAACCATTTCTTATGATCCTTAAAGATTCTATGATCCCTTAGGAGTTCTGCATCTTAGCTGTGCAAGGATGTGTATCCCAAAGAGTAGCTGGTCTCGTTAGGCTGCGGGATCTGCTCCGCATCTGTTTCACTACTGTACAGGACACTTCAGAGCAGCCAGGCACGAATCTGACTTTACATTTTGGGAAGTAAATAGAGGTGGAAGTTTTCACCAAGGAAAATGGTTCGTCATGGAAATTCAGGGGAAAAGCACATCATAAGCACATATGAGAGAGATAAAATCTAACATCGGTTTTTAACACCTTTAATTTTCTGAGGGATATTTACGTGTTACCAGAGAAAATCTGCTTATGCTCAGATCAGGAAAATATACCCTTTGTGCAGGATGTACTAAAAGAGTTTTTGTAACACTGTTAGTTTTGGATAGTTCATGTTTCTACCCATCATGCAGCCAAAACAAATAGGGGAAATGAGTTTTGCACAATAAGTACTATTGTTAAACTCCTAATGAAACGAACTCCATCTTGTGGTGACATTTTTGCAACAGACTGGCTTGCTTTTGGGGGATTTTCTTTAACCTGTTTTGCATTTGGATTTTCAGAATCTGACACAGAATCCAAGAAATATGATATCCACTTGAGCATTGGCAAGCCAGTAGTAAGTATTATCCTTAAAACACCTTTATTGTCTATGTATATACCCTCTGTGAAATTACATGCATCTTTCTCATTGTTTTTTTTCAAATGGTTCACTTTTTTATGGAGAAAATGTATTTTATTTGTTAGAGGCTATAGCTGGGAAAGGGTAGCTATGAGGTAGAAACCCACTGCATCTCAGCTCTCTGAAATGGTCTATCTGACTCAGTAACCCAATATTTGAGACAAGAATGTTTCAATAGTTGAAGTTGTCTAATGTATGGAAGGGCTTTAATACCCTGCAAACAAAGGGCCTGGTAAACTGATAGATATCTGAGCATGCTGAGTCTTAAAACCAACATTATTTAGAGGATTTAAGAATGCTGATACAGAAATTACAAAAATAGTTCCTCATTTTCAGGTGAAGTTTAGAAATTGGAGCAAATACTTGGTTATTAACTGGGTGTTTAGAAAGCTGGTGTCTTGTGGTAACATTTGCTTATGTATCTAAAGCCTAAAGTTGCACTGATTTTTTTTCTTTCTTTTTTTTTTAATCTTGAACATGCTTACTAAAACTCCTCCTTTGCATCACCTATGCAGTAAGCAGGGGGGACATTCTTTTCTTCCAGCCTTCCAGCGGTTTTTGTTGTGGGCGTTTGTCCATTGCTGCCTCTGCCATCTGTACTTAATGCCAACAAAAGGCTGTGTTGGCTTTATGTCTTAGAAAAATCTGCAGTATGGGAAGTAAATGGGGAAAAAGATTAGGTCTGGGCCTCTTAGTATCTTTTAAATCAGTGGTTAAATTTTAAAATTGAGTGAGAGAGTTGGGATAGAAACCTAGGCCATCTGATTGTGCCTAAATGTTGATCTTGTGCCAGTGTTGAAGACTGCAAATGTGAAAATTTGCTCTCATGGTGTCCTATAAACAGTGCAGGTGAAATAGAAATTTCTCTTCATACCCTGTGGCAATGTCATGCATCTTTACTAAGTTTACTTACCTATGCTGGAAGGCAAATCCATTAATATGATATTTCAGATATGAGAACAGAACAATAATTATATTCAAATAATGACTCAGTATTTCCACTGTGAAGATAAAGAAATCCTCCAGTGAGGAACTTCATGGGCAAACTAGGAACACCATGTTATTGACTAATATACCTTTTATTACAGAAAGCAAACTTACTTGCATTATTTATGCTTTTAATAGGTTTCTGATATACAAGCAAGATCAGCCGTTCTGTCCTGGAATCTCCCAGTTAGTTCACAGAATGGAGAGAGCCATAGTCATAGTCCAGCAGCATTTACATTTGAAGTAGCAATATCCAACAGTGGTAAAAATGGAAAATTTAAATCTGTCTATGTGTAAGTTTAGTTTCTTCATTTAAGCACAATACTGATGTTTAAAACATTAACCAACCAGCAATCTCTTTATCAGGAGCTGTTTTTTGACTTGCAGATCTACCTACTTCACATGAAATAAATTTTAAGTAATATCAGTAAGAGTTACATGGACAATGGAAAACATTGAAAATTAAATGTACGCTACACGGCTTTGCTTTTCAAAAAGCTTTGAAGTAAAAGGAAGAACTGTAACTCATTTTTTTTTTTCCATTTTGCAGTGGGGAAGAATTAACAATTAAACTTCCTGATCTCAGACCAGCAACTGATTACCATGCCAGGTATGTTTCTAGAAATGGACAACTTAATGATGTTCATATTAATAGCTATATTATTGTGGCTTCCTGAAAAAGATACAACCACAGATACGCTGGGGGAACATTGCATGTAAAATATCCTAGCTATGTACACTACTGTTGCCATCTAAAATTGTAGTTACATTCTAGTTGCATAAAAACACCCATTTCGTTTTCTTCGGCTTTTTCCCTGTCATGTTTCCTTGTTTCTCCAAAGTACAAATGATATCCTCTGTTGGTATTTTTAGAAAGACAAGTTTGAACTCGGTGAATAAAACAATTTAGACTTTAGCATGGATCTGGGGGGTTGACTTGAGTGTAGATGGCAAGGATGACAGTGGAAGTGCCTGAAATGCCCGAGGAAGGTAAATGCTGTCACAGAGGAACCAGACATGCGAGCGTCGAGGATGGCCGTGCAGGGCTCTTGAGCTCACCAGAGTAAATAAATACTTTCTCCAGTAATGCTTAGCTGGTCAGGAAAACAGCAAGAAGCTGGTTAAAGAATCCAGGGGAACATTGTGATCCAGCGGTAGAAGAGAGAGCCTCAGTGCTTGGACACAGGAGGAGGCAAGATTTAAGATTTATTGAAGCAAAACCCTATTCTGCAAACTTCAAAACGTGTCTTAGTGTGCCAAACTCTGCACAGCTTCACTTGTGCAGTACAGCGTGTGTTTGGTTCACAGTGTTACCTTTATATAGGCCAACTTTATCTTGCCTACATCTGATTTGAGAAGATGGACAGTATTTCCTTTTGAAAAATTAGTGAAGTCATTGCACATCAAAACTAAGCACAAATGAACATGGCTGTTTTAGATATTCAGTCACATTTGAACAACTATATATTGATACGTGCTGTGCCTTCCTTGTGCAAGGTGCTCATTTAGTCGGGAGCCAATGATTTGAAAGAGTAATTGGGCACTTAAAGAAAATGGAGCAGTCCAGTCTTCTTTCTGTAACCACTACCTGTAATTAAATGCATTTGTACAACTGACATTAAATTTTCAGTTGCTAAAGCATTAGCATCATACTCTGATTAACTGTCCTTTGTTCAGAGTTTCAGCAACCAGCAGTTCCATAAAAGAATCTGTTTCGGAGTTGGTGAGTTTCACTACGGAGAGCTGTGAGCCGGAGCCTCCTGCTGCACCCAAGCTGGTTAACAGAACCAAGAACAGCCTGAGCCTGCAGTGGAAGGTAAACAGTCTGCTGTTCTAATGTACAATATGGTGACCTTTAGCAATAATTTAGTATTTCTTTTAGATGTTGACTTTTAAGTTGCTCAGAGAAGATTGATAACGGAAATCATGATTGCTTCTTCTGTCTTCTGTTACTGCTTATTCAGGTTCCTCCTGAATTTAGTACGGAAATCATGATTGCTTCTTCTGTCTTTTTGTTACTGCTTATTCAGGTTCCTCCATATGAATTTATTATAAGAGCTTGTAGCAGGTCTGCCTAACCATAAATTATCCAGTAGAAAAGTTTTTATTTTCTCAAATAGTAGCTCATGAAATGATACAGCATTCTATTTTTTCTTAGGGTTCCTGCATGGTAAAATATACATAGCTTAAAGTTATGGTTCAGAGTTCTCATAGTTATTCTAAGTAATTCTTCCTTAATTCCTTTGGCTGGCTTGAAAAATAATTTTTGAATCTAACTTTTGAATCTATACAGTACAGTTTGTGAATGCTTGGTGGTAACTGTATATTCTTGTATTTTCATATTTTTCTTGTAATTATGAATATATTGGGAAAATGATTTGTAGATGAATGTGACATTAATTAGTAAATTATTTGTATAATCCATACCCTACTAGTATGGTAAATTCCCAATTCATGCTGTATACCAAGTAGTAATATTGGCTATTTGTATGCTTATACTGCTCAAACAGACAATTGGTAAATAGCAAATGCAAGGACACAAGGAAAATTTCAGGAATGTATAATTTCATTTCATGAAATTGTATAAGTTTGTTAATTCTGATAGCTTAGAACGTATAATCAGTATAGCAGCCTAGTGAGCCATAGGAACGAGGAATTAATTTCGTTGCTGTTTTCTCCTTCCTAACTCACTTTACTGAACACACCTTTGCCTACAATAGTCTCAAATTACCACAAATGTGTTTGTGGAGGAGGGCTGTTCTGTATGCACAGTGCAGATGCCTTTCAAGTGCACATTAACTGTAAATACATGGATTTAAAAGGCAGTTGGAATATGTTAGTCAATTATTAAAATATTTCATTAATATGTGTTAAAATATATGTTAAATGCAACCATTTGATTTTAACTTTTTGTTGTTTTCTTATTTTCAGTCTTCAAATGACAATGGTTCCAAAATAACTAATTTTCTTTTAGAATGGGATGAGGTAAGCCCTTTTCTAATACAAAAATAAAGGCATCTGTAGGCCAATTATATTTAGAAATACTTTTTGTTTAGGTATATTCTCCTTATTTTTATTGCAACTTAGTTTTAAAGGGACTAGCCAAATCAAAACTTCAAATCCGATTGCTAGCACAGCAGTGATTCAGCTTAGAGAAATCCTTCAGAGGAATTCTGAGAGGATAGTTAAAACTTCCCGATCTTTTCTTGTCATTCATAATGTAATTAATTCCCATACTCTGTTTAAATGGATAAGCATTAGACATGAAGGAGTTAAGCTTAACAGGGAGCATACAGTCCCTCTGTACCTTACTCAGGATGTTCTCTTTTCTTTAAAGGGGAAGAATGGACCTTTCAAAGAATGTTTCTATGGACATCTGAAGCAGTATAAACTTACCAAACTGTCTCCTTCTACAAAATACTCACTCAGATTAGCTGCTAAAAATGATATTGGAATGAGGTAATGACCCCAATATATCATGTGATTTATTTTCTCAACAATATACAGTTGCTGAGGAATTGTCCCACCCGCCCCATCACCCCCCCAGCTCCTTGAAGCAGGAGTGACCTGGCTGGCATTAAAATGGAGCCCACCTAACGGGGTGTCTTCAGATGACTCTCTGACCTACACTCTGGACGTGGAAGAAGAAGGTTCTGTAAGTACTGGCTTGCTTTCATGTGTGTCAAAGCCTGATATGCAGTTGCGCTAGATGAAAATGTAACCCAGTATGTTGCTTTCAAATGAAATAATACAAAATGCTGCACTAAAATACCAACAGTTGGCAAGCACTGCATGTATTCATAAAATAGAATGAAGATGCTCTTTTATAAATGAGCTGAAAACCCCTGATGTTTCATACTTCTTTTGTTTTCTCAAGGAAAATTAATGGCTGAGTTTGTTCTTATCTTCTCTGCTTTACAGGGGTATGGTTTCCAACCGCAATACAATGGGGATGAACTCTCATGCACTTTAAGAAATCTTAGGAGGAGTACTTCCTATAAGTTTAGGGTTTGTACTGTATTTTATTTCTAATTTAATAATGAGTATTTCTGGAATTCTAGCATTTTCGTGAAGACTGTTTTCCGTGGAAACTGAATTATCCACAGTAATTTCGGAGTTATAGTACTTTAGCGAATTATATTACAAAGCAGAGTGTTTTTCCACAGTAGTTAGTTTTTTGTTTCACATTTTGTTGCCTTTCCTGTCACTTTGCTGATTTATAGAATTCTTCCATGCGAAGTATTGCTTGTTGTTGAATCCAGCATTTGTTGTATATTTTGTTTTTTCCTGAAACAGCTCTTTGCCTACAACAGTGAAGGAAAAAGCATTGCTAGTGAGGTGGTAGAGCACAGCACCAATCCTGACAAGCCAGGGCCTCCAAGTAAACCCACAGTGAAGGGAAAGATCCATTCGCACAGTGTGAAAGTTGCATGGGGTAAGTTGGCTTTTGTTGGTGTCATCATTGAACGTTTCTCAATTTTGTACACTGTCAATAACACAGTCTGTGAAAATAGAGGTAAAATTTTTAGGCTAGGTATTTCTCTCTGCAGGGATCATTATTCTAGAAGAAATTCTTAGCATTACAAAAAAGTTGCATCTTTGCTTTAGGGCTTGTTATGGGAAGCGGTATTAAAAAAACACATTCAGATCTACTGGATATATTAATAGCCTTCTATTTACTATGATGCTTAAATAATTTTCATGTGCTCTTAAAAAATAAAAGTTTGTATCTGTAGTCAGCAGTCTTTTCATCCTCTTTGTCCTGACATCATTGCAATTAGTAGTAGAAAATTAATGATCTGGAAGATGCATTGAGAATATATAAACAAGTTTATAAAATTAAACTTGAAGGTAAATTAAATTTTATATTGCAGCTTCTGTTTCCATTTGAATTGAATTTTTGTATTTGAGTGTTCTCTGAAAATGTTAATTATGAGATAATTCATTATGTTCTGTAATTTATTTCAAGATATTGCTTTCTTTCAGAACCACCCAAGGATAATGGAGGATCAGACATTTCTAAGTACTTTTTAGAAATTTCAGAAACTTTAATTGGTAAGCAATCATCTTTACTAATTCAACTTAGGCTAGATATAAATATTAGAATTATTCATTGCTGTAGCAATTACTGTACTGTCTTGCATGGCTATTTGTCTGTTGTACATGCTATTTTTTTTAACATATTTTTTACATATTTGATTCTTTAGTTTTGATTTGGTGATTTATTTTCATAGTAATTTTGAGAGAATTTTCAGTGTGCTTTTATTCTTCTTTTTTCCCAAAATCTCCCCCTGTGAAAGTGTCTGTCTTTCCTCAGGAAGTAAATGGGAAGTCATATACAGTGGTCCCCAGAGAGAACATGTATGTGACCATCTCAAGCCTGGTACTTCATACAGAATGAGAGTTTACTGCATCAGTAAAGGTGGTGAAAGCCAGGTGAGAGGGAAAAAAGATAACTTGGTCCTGATAGGTATGGTATTTTTTCTGTGTTTTAGTGACATCTGTGTGTGTGCGTGTTTTCACTCGTATATTATTGCTAGGTTTCTGATGTTCTGGCTGTTACAACATCAGCTGTTCCTCCTGGACCATGTCATGCTCCATGCCTGGCAGGCAAAGCTAAGCCCAAGGAAATCACTTTACAGTGGGGTAAGCTCCGGAGTTGTTAAGCAACATATTTTTCCAATTTTAAATGTCAGAATTAAAATGAAAAGTCTGTTAAAGTCTTTAAAAAATGTAGTCCAAGTCATTAGTTTCTTGAGAAAGCATAAAACTCGCCTAACCACCTACAGTTTGGTGTTGCAATAACATGGAGAGAGTTAAACACAAATAACTGTCTTTCTATGAGAAGGCTTGTTGCCTCCCTCATTACAGACTTTATTATTAGTAATTTAAAAATGAATCTTCATTTTTTGCTTTTAGCTCCAAAAAGGAGACGAGCAAAAAAGGATGGGTGTACATGTTTTTTAAGGAATTTATCAAAAATATCTGGAAGAATCTGAGGAAGGCCATCTTAATTAATCTACCCATGCCTGAAAATAAAAGAAAATCTGATGAGGTGTTCTTGTTCAAGTAGATTAAAAACCTGCACTCCTACTTTTAAAATTCACATGATTTATAAATTGAGATGGCTGCTGGAAACTAGTTTAAAGAAAAGAGGTTTCTGAAGCTAATATATTTTTTTTTTAAATCACTTTTTATTTCTTAGGCCCTCCTTCCATAGATGGAGGCTCAGAAGTAACAGAATATATTATAGAAATGGCAAACGCTGAACAAGAGGAACGCAGACAAGTGTATCAGGGTCCAGCACTGGAATATGCAGTAACCAACTTACTTCCTGGGAGAACATACTCCTTCTGGATACGAGCAGCAAATAAAGTTGGGGTAACCACTCTACTGATGAAATTTTGATATGCCAAGGACAGTAATGGTGCTTTTGTGTTAGGAGCCTCATATTTTACAATTGGGTTTTGGTGTAGTTTTTGTTGAAGGAGCAACAATTCTTGCAATAGAAAAAGACAATGTAAAGAAGTTTCAGTAAAATAGGGCTGAAGGAAGGGCTGGATTCCCTAATTAAGGGAATGCTTGTTGCTGTGTTGTACTTCTGTTGTATAGGGGGTTATTGTTGATACCTAAGCTAACTAGGTACAGAGTTAGATCTAATAAACCTGTACTATTAGGCATTTCTTTGACTTCGTTGTAAACCCCATCTTTCTTACTGAGAGAGAACCACTCAATATTTCTTCATTAAGAAAAAGGCTTTGTGTTTTACGATTAGTGTAGATTTTGCACACCAGTAACGTGGGGAATAGTGTTGAGCGTGTTCAAATAATTCCAGGGTTGAACAAGGCTTGGACAAGCATTGGTTATCTGAAAGTCTTTCTGAAACAGTAGCCAGTTGCTTCTGGAAGCCAGATCTTGCCTACGAGGAAAGCAGTTGTGAAACCATAGGGGTGTGCATTAGCGGGAGGATTGCAGTTACTGTGTGTGCCCAGAGCCAGTTTGTAGAGTAGGAATTTTATATGGGGCTGTGAAACTACCCAAGTCGGGACTGAGTTCTTCTTAATCATCTAATCATCAAAACCACTTCTTTATTCAGCACATACACTTGCATTTTTGCTTCACTGTTGTTGCTGTGTACATATGATTTTATTTTCTTACAGTTTGGTCCTCACTCTGACAAAGCAGAGATCTCTACTGCTCCAGGTCCCCCTGATCAATGTTGCAAACCCCTGATAACTTGTAAGAGTGCAACTTGTGTTCTAGTTTCATGGGAGGTAGGTTTTAATTCTCAGTAATGCGCAAATTAATATTTGACCTTTTAGAAACACACATGCACGGAAATGGAAGAAATGACAAGTGTGGGGGTGTAATATTTCAAATGCATCAATTTACAGCAGCATAAACGGAGTAAACATAGTGACATTTAAGTCTTCCTCGTGGCATGTTAACTGGTATTATATTGCTAATGTATTTAATTCATGCAAGTGGTAAGAGATTTATAGTCTGAACAGTGTTGTTACTATAGTCACGTATTTACATGGAAATCATTTAACAAGCTGAGCTTAAAATTAGGCCCTTGGCTGTTGTTGGAGGTCTTTGTTTAGATTTACAGCATGGTGTTAAGAGATCTCCGTGCAGTATGCTGTGGCAATATTAGCCTCAAATGTATGGATGCATTATGCCTGCACTGTTTAATTCTTGTTAAGAGGCTGAGTATCAGATGTTGGGAAATAAGATAGTTCTCTCAAGAGACCTCAAGCTTTGAACTCCAGTGCTTCTATTCTAATGTTGTTGTTCAGTGGAACGAGATCTCCCTTGCAAGGTGAGCATGTGCATATAGGTAATAGCTGAATGAAAATCTATCATTTAAACCCACAGAGTCCTGCATGCAATGGTGCAGAAGTCAGTGAGTACAGACTGGAGTGGGGACAGGTGGAAGGATCCATGCATATCATTTACACTGGTCCTTGCCTGAGCTATGAAGTAAAAGGTCTCACACCTGCAACAACATATTATTGCAGAGTACAGGTATGAAAAGCCTTTTATTATGTGTTGCTTTGAGAAGAAAAAAAAAAAAAAAACAGTCTGGAGAAATATTTAAGCTGGAGATGGATAAAACAATGTACTGTTGTACCTACCAATGCAGCAAAGAGAGTAATTAGTAGAAGGAACACTCCTTTCTCTTCCAAGCCTTCCTAATGATATTTTTCAGGAAGTTTAGGCTTACTGTAGAATTAACTGCCATACGTTTTGCCTGATAATACCAGTTTTGTGACAGGAGTAATCAGGCATGTGCAGTGTGTTCCCACGGCGCATTCATATTACACGGTAAGCTGTGCTTTTGTTCAACAGCTGTTGCTTGCTGCTCTCCCAGGCAACAGCGTGCTGCAGAGCACACTGTCCTTCAGCTATCGTGCAAGCAGTGCTGCTTGGTTATAATGTTCTTCATAACAGTAAAATCCTGTATTCAATTTTGGATTGACATGTTTACATTTTATTTAGAAAATTTTCCATATTCTTCCAAGTTGCTTTTAATGACGTGTGAAATGAAAGCATGGTAGCTGTGACTGGTTAGAAAAATGTGGATTTAATATATAATGTGGGGTCTGTCTTTCAGGCTGTGAATATTGCTGGCGTTGGGTTGTTTGGCGAGATTGGTGTGGTGGCAACCCCTGCATCAGTGCCTGCAGCAGTAGCAGTACTGGATTTACTTGAAGAAGATCAAATGGAAATTTCTCTTCCTTTATCAACGTGCCTTGCAATTCAATGGGAAGAACCGTGTTGTCACGGATCAGAGATCACTGGATATAATATAGAATATGGGGAAAAACAGCTTGTAACTATTGGTAGAAATACAAGCCATGTTCTTGAGAATCTCCTGCCTGACACTCTGTACAGGTGATAATTTATTGTTTTATTCTGCAACTGTCTCTGTAGAAGTTTCAGTCCATAGATTTAAGGGCAGCATTGCTAAGTTCTGTAGCAGTTTAACTCAGGCTGCTGCATATTAAGCAAAACAGGTCCTGTGAATGGGATTTGAGGGAAAATCTGAATGAAAAGTAGACAGAAATTGTTAGCCTCTAAATAATACCATACTTTGTGCTGCTGGAGGGAGCAAGAGGTTTGCACTGATACCTCGTAGGCAAAACACAAATGCCTGGTTAGAACTTATTTCTTAAGTTGATAAAAAGAAACCAGAACAATAGTGAGAAACACTGAAATTCTGTTATGTTGAAAAACAGTGTAATCATTTTCACTTGTTTTGACACAGATTTTTTTATTATTATTGTTTAAGTTAATTTCTAACTACTTTTTAATCATTTTGTAGCCACATTCACTACAAATTTATTATTCATTACCTACTATTTCTTCAGGATTTCAGTAAATTACTCACACAGCTGCTCTTCTCACATTTCTAGAGTTAGAATACAGGCCATAAACAGCTTTGGAGTTGGTCCTTTCAGTCATTCCATTAAAGCCAAAACAAAACCACTACCTCCTGACCCTCCTCATCTTGAATGTGTGGTCTTCAGCTACCAGAGCCTTAAACTTAAATGGGGTGAAGGTCCTAGCAGAGCTTTAATCACCAACCCTACGCAATTCAATTTGCAGATGGAGGACAGGTTTGGCAGGTAAGAAAATTAGAATATTAAGGCGGTCAGTCCTGCTTAACAACTTGGAGTTCAGTTTTTATCACATCTTAAGTTTTCTTACCTCCCTCTGTTTTCACCAGTAAGAAATTGAAAAGCTCATTTGGACATTATAAGTTTGCTTAAACACAGTTTTTATATTGCATATTTCATCCAGAAATGTTGTTAATATCTGTTGTACTGGTATTTTTTAGTAAGTAGTAGATATTACTTACTAGTTAAATAGTAATGCATTTGTATTTGTGTTGTCAATATCTGTATTTTCTGTAACTTCTAAAATGAAGTCTAGGCTTTGTGGATGCTGTTGTTTATTGCTTCCCTGGGTTGAATGGAGGCGTTACGAATTTAAATTCAGCGACTTCCACCAGCATGAATTTTGTGTTTTCCTGGTTGAATGTGTATCATGAACCATTGATGACAACAGCAGAGTTTGAATTGCTTAACATTTCTTAGTGTATGTATGCATTAAGCTGGGGTAGCTGTAGGATTTTTGTAGTTTCAATACAAAAATGTTCACCAAGCTCACTTGCAATGTTAACATAGAAATTTGTAATTTTAAGTAATTCTAAGTTGTGTTTCTTTTTTTTCCTCCTTCCAGATTTGTTACTGTTTATAGTGGCCCTTGTCATACATACAAGGTACAGCGACTCAGTGAATCCACTACATACTATTTTAAAATCCAAGCATATAATGATGCTGGAGAAGGAGAGTTTTCTGAAGTTTACGCTTTTACTACAACTAAATCTCCACCAGCATCTCTTAAAGGTGAGTGTATAGTGCACTAGACACCTCAGCAAGCTGTTTATGTAGTACATAAAATGCTCAAAACTGACTCATTTCCTAGTCCAGCCTTTTCCATGGCCCCTATGGGCCACAGAACAGAAACTAGCTGTGTTTCAGCATTATTTTGGTATAAGAGGGGTTTTAGTGGCTGAAGAGCAGTGCTTGGCCATCTCCCACACTATATCCCTTCTAGCTCTGACAGGGCAGATATTTGCGACCCATTTTCCGTCTGGCATCTTGGGATAGATGTCATATGTACAGTGTATAGGCACAACACAAATATATTCTCTGATCTTCGCTTCATAATGTGAATGCTAAAGCTCCCCTCTAAAGAAGGCCATTATGAAGACAAGAATGACAATTATTTGCAAGAAAGTCAGTTGAGTGAACCTTGTATATAGCATTGAAATTGAACCCTGGAGATAGGGTGACATAAATGACGTTCTCCTGAGTGATTTGGAAGAGCTTACTCCTCAGGTCAGGCATTAGACTTCAGAAGCTCATCTTGTCAGCTGAAAAGGAAGATAAATGTAGCCTACAATAATCATTTGGTTAGTTCACGTAATGAAATACAGCAAAGAAAAAGAAAATAAGTACAAAACAAAAATCTTAATAATTTAGAATCATCTGCATGTCTGTTGTTGCCTCTAAGAACGACTGTTAGTTCTATATTGCTACCACACATGTTGGAAAACGCTTCCTGAAATTTTAGATTTAAGTTCTCCAGTCACTTGCGTAGAAGTGATATAATTTAAATGAAAAATGTACAAAACAAAAGTCTGTTTTAAGCCAGAGTGAAGGTAAAAAAAAAAAAAAGAAAATCTTGCCAGTGAAACTGGTGAAAATAAGAAGGTTTTGGAACATCTCTTTGGAGATGATCAAAACCCAGCTGGGCATGGTCCTGGGAAACCTGCTGTAGCTGACTGTGCTTGAGAAGGGGTAGATGAACCAGGTGATCTTCAGACATCCTTTCCACCCCCAAATACTCTGTGAATAAAGTAAAGTAAAATAAAGTCATGTTGGAGTTGCCTGCCCTCTATGTTAACAGAATTTATTTTTAGTCAGGAACAAAATTGTTTCTATTTATGAGGTGCCAAATGAACTCTTCGAGTAAAATTTTATTGCCCAGTTAACTGTGAATATGAGTCACTGTAATAATTAACAGTTTTGGCCCTTTCTTTTTCCATCTAATTGAAAAAGGCAAGAACATTTGTTAGGACCGTTGTTCTCTTCCCTTAATACCAACAAATCACTTTCTTCCAGCACCCAAAGCAAATCAGGTGGAAGAGAACACTTATGAAATCACCTGGGAACCTTTACAGCCGATGAAAGGAGATTCCATTGTTTACATCCTTCAGCTTGCTACCGGGAGAGAGTTTGATCAGGTACTTTTTATCAATGTATTTTTATTTTAAAATATAATTTGCTTTGAAAAAAAAATTGTAATAATTATTGTATTGATTTTTTTTCCAAATCCAATTGTTTTCAATAGAAAGTTATTCCAAAGCACATTACGAAGTGTCTATCTTTGTTCAGCTTGCTTCAAATCTGTTCAAAGCAGCACTTTCAAATCTCTTCATGCACATCATACGTTTTAATCACATCCCAGGAAAGTAATGGAACCACAGATTGTAGTTCTGGCATCTAGGGCTGGGCAGATAAGGGGTGGTGAGTCTTTCCTGAGGGTTTGTCTTGAGATGAATTCGTTTGTACCCAACTGCAAATACTTCAGCCTTTGAGGTTTCCCAGTCACACAGTGAGTTTTGCCTTCCAAACATCACCTGCTCTGGAATGAGTATTAATCATCCAAATAGCACCTGGGTGTTCATGCTGTTCATCTGAACAGTTTTGAGTTACCAGTTCAGTTTCCTTGTAGTCTGTACTCCTCACTTGAAAAGGAGCATCCAGCTTTTTTAGCAAGCAGATGGTTCTGCAGGTTGGCATCATTCTTTCATCTGTGCTGAGAGGCTTTGCAGTCTGATGCTGTCCTCAGCTCTGCGGCACAGAGCTGCTGCTACTCACCTGCTCTGGGCAGTAGCTCACAAATAGCAGTGGACATTAATCCCTTCAGCGTGTTTGACGTTAATGGGTACTGAAAGGTGATTTTTGAATTCCAGAAGATCACTTGAATTCGATGCAGTGCATGTCAAGAATCCTACATGTCTTGTTTGCCTAGAGTTTGGATCACCTTAGGCGGGTTCAGTTCCTTTCAACTGGAATCAACATGATACCACTTGAGGAGCAAGCCTGACTTCCCTATGGAATGTCTCTGCCTGCCAGTGGCTGCTGCAGGTCCTAGACTAGATGAACCTTTTCTATCCTAGCATTATTGTTGTAATAGTTTTCTTTCTATTTCTTGTACTCTTCCTCTCAGTTAAAAGCACTTAATAATAAATTGATCCATAAAGTGACAGTAAATGTTTCAGTTCTGTAGTGAGCTTCAGCTTGTACTGCCAAAGCAAATGACTGCAAAGGCAAGCCTGAGTCTTTGGGAGAGGGGCTTATATGGAAACGGGCTGACCCTCTCTTAGCCTGTTCTCCCAGCCTCTCCCCTGGCTTTCTCATTCTTAAATCTTAGAGTCTGTGGTGTCATTGTCCTCGTGAGTCACAGACAGCTCTTGCCCTATGTTTGTCAGCACTCTAGGATAGTATTTGTCTTTCTGAGCTCCAAAATTCCAGTCTGGGGTCTGTTGCAGTTCAGTGGAACATAACGGGACACTTTTCATTCTTTCATTCTTGAGAACAAAAGCTGAGGATTTATTTCAAGGTCCAAACAGTTGGCTGGCAGAGAATGACTTCCAGCATGGCCTGTGTCCCCCAGCAGATGCTACACGGGAATCCCACTTGCTGTTTGTCAGATGAATCGCATTGGAAGTGGTTCTCATCCTTGTTGTCTCTAGGTGTACAAGGGGCCGGAGACGTCCTTCCGTCTCACAAGCTTGCAGACAAACTGTGAATATCGGATCCGAGTCTGCGCTGGCCGCCAGTCCCAAGACTCTACCGGATCACAAGAACTGTATGGACCTTACAGTCCCAGTACAGTATTCTCATCTCAGAAACAAGAGCTGGTTCCACAATGTGCTGACATGACAACAGAATTGGCAGAGACGAAGAAGACGCTGCGTGAGGAGCGCTTCATCGCCATCGTTCTCCTCTGCGGCTTTGCAGTGGTCGCTATTTTATTTGCTGTTGTTATTCAGTACTTTGTGATCAAGTAGACGAGAGCCTATTCAGTACTCAGCTTTTTGTACAGAAGCTATTTCGGGTATTTATGGTTAGTTCTAATTAAAATCTTAGCTGGAAATGTATACCTATGTGCATTTCCACTCTTGCTGCTGGCTAACAGCGAGGCTGGGTTGGCAGATCCTTTCCAAATACTGAACACAGATTTCTTGTAGAAAGGGTAATCCTGGGTCCTCTGTAATCAGGGTTAGCTGTTAGTAAAACAGCAAAAAACTGCCTTATCCTGCACACGAGTGTGTGTGCACACTCCTCCCCTCTCTGCATTCAAAGAGGGGCCCTTTGGCCAGTCGGGGAGAGAGGCATTACTAGAACGAGTCCTTTCAAAGTCCAACTAGAGCAGTGGTAGATCAGCAACGTCTAATCAGGTATCGTAGTTTGGTATACACAAAATACAGCAGCACAAATGCTTAAGCTTAGAGCAGTACTGTATTGCAAACATTACTAGAGCATACCACATTTAATATACTGTAGAAGGAAAGCAGAATATTGACTTTGACTTAGTGATATTACTACTTTTCAGTTATTTTAATATTTGGGGTTCAGTAATAATCATTTCAAGTGTTAAAGTAGAGGGTGCCAGCATTTTTAGAATTTTAATTAAAATGCTAGACAAAATGTTAGCAGGATGGTAATGTACATACAGTGATTGCATTTGTATGTAACATTGCAAAAAAAGGCCCCTTTTGTATTGTACATTTCTGAATGAAATGCTTTCTGCTGTTGGTGAGCAGCTGTTGGCCCAATCCACATTTCACTCTCAGTGCCTGAGAGCAAAGTAATTTCCTGTGCTTCTGATTCAGTCTTTGCAATGTTTTCAGAAAAGCACAGGTATTGTCTTTAAGGAGAAAGAGTGCATTTATGATAAATGTTACACTATTTGGCTCAAACTGAGCAAATGTTTTTGTACTATTATTAACCTAAAAAATAAAAAAGTTGAAACTGCTTTTGGATACCCTTCTAACTTAATCTGAATTATCAAATTGTACATGAAAGAAGTCTTTTTAGATGACATGTATACAATGTTTTAAACAAGTTGCTATCCCAGAGGTAGCAGTTTCACATTCCATTGTTTTCTAGATGAGACTGTTTAGTCTGCTATGAACTTTTCTGAAACTGGTCATATTTGTCTAGGGGTTATTTTTGTGGACACTGTGCACTACGTATGACTGTTCGTGTTAAATTTATCTACAAATATATAAACATGAGTCTGACATCTGTCTTTATATCAAATATTTTAAAAGCTGGAACTCACAAATTTAGAACATATTTCAGAATGGGTCTTCCTAATAGCATTGGCATATGCCATAGAAAGTTAGATTTAGCATATTTTGCAAAGACTACAGCTACACTTTATATACATCAGAACAATGCACTTGTACGTGGAATGTTGGATGTGATAGTGCTACAGGCTAAGTATTTCAAAAAAGTAATCACTTCAAGGGTCTTTCTCCTCTGGCAGTTGATGAATAATGTTGCGTTAGAGTTTGAGGCATTGTGTTGTATTTCAGATGTGGGAACCTAAATTATGACATAGTATCGCTTAATACTCTTAAAGTAGATTTATGGTGCAATCTGAAATTAATCTTTTCAAAATGTACTCTTCATTTTGTACTCTATTTATTTTGATTAAAAGTCCTGGAAAATGTATGTTTGAATGTATTGTTCTACTTGTAGCAGAACTTTAAGTTAATCATTTATTATATCATAGAAATTTCTCCCTCCAGTGTTGGAAAGAGTTTTATACAGATATTAGTGTCTTTAGTTTGCAGAAGACTTTACAATCTGTCTTTATTTCTCTTCATAGTCTACTTTTAGCAAATAAGACTGTCTTCAGCAAATCTCTGTTGTCAAAGGGTTATTTCTTTAACTCTTAGAATGAAGTTGGTAGGGGTTTATTTGGCAATAATATTTCTGATAATTTTGAAAGATAAATTAGGATTGCAGAGTAAATACTAACAAGTCAAGACTCCTAAAACGTAAAATAAAGTTCTTCTGTAATTGCCACAAAATGTTCATGTTTCCAGTAAATATACTGGAAAGCCTATCATAATATAGATTTTTACATCAGCTATTATCCATTCCAGAATGATATACCCTAGTGGCATTAATGTATTAGGTATCTTTTCAATTTTTCTTGTATTGTAATTTTGAGGTATCTCAAACTTATGTTAAAGCTGCCATGCATTGTATTACTAAATTGTAACTATCAAATAGATAATATATTTAATACAGCCAATAAATAATACAAATGTATTCAAATTTAATTATGGGGTTGCTGTGTATTTTTTATGTGTGTGTGTGTGGTTTTTTTTTAAGCTTTATTCAAGAGCAGTTTTATCATTTGTGTATAGTAGAATTTAAGTTGAATAAACACACAGGATGGAACAGGGGCAGCCTGTTAATGCCCTGGACTCTTCTTGCGGAAACTTGATTTCTAGTGGAAGAGGAGAGGATGCTCCTTGTCTGTCAGTCACCTCCCCTGGAACCACACTTGCAAGGCAGAAAAGGAAAATACAAAGTGACTTTTTCCTTCTAACCATTGCCTTCTGTCCCCACCATGAAGAGTGTTAAGGCTTTTGTTTCAAAGACTGTGTTCTGGTTTGTATCCTGCCGTCAGCCCCATCCGGAGCGGGTGCTGCCGCGTTTCTGCCTTCTGCGAGCCCTGGGGCCAAACATTAGACCTCGCCTCCTGAAAGGAGGAAAAGCAGGATCAGGAGGGCTCCAGAGGGCTGTACACAAAGGGGGTCGGGGACTCTGAAGGGCTGTACAAGGAGGGCAGGACAGAGCTGGGCCTGTAC